ATTGTTCAAAACTGTACTGTAATATTCAAATATCGACATACAGACAATTCCATTGAAAAATTTGCAGAAATTCGTCGAAATGCCGACCCAAAACCATGTGTACTAAATTTCAGCACTCGGTCACAATTCCTTCGGAAGATATCGTGATTAGAATTTATATACTTTGTTGTGTCTAAATGATTAGGAGTGTATAAAACGAACGGCTGCTTATGAAATAAGTTCCTTGCTCACTGAAATTTTGGAATTTCAATTCAATTTATTCTCCTTAAATCCTTCAACAATTTGTATTATATAATACTTAAATTAGGCTACAGTGAAGCTGTAGCCCTTGTCTATACTATTTTAATGACAAATACGCTCATAATTATAATGTTCTCCTAAAAAATGATGTTTAAAAAACTGGAGTCCCTAACCTTTTTTTTAATTTTTAATATCTTAAAGGTAATTGTATCTATTATTAAGTCTACTTACTATCTAATGTTAATTCTACTTAACCTACTTAATCAACTATTAACAATATTTACAGAGGATGATACACCGGCTACTACACCGGCCTTAACCGAGAATTTTTTTTCGTATGCTGCAATAATACGCTTGCAGCTAGAGACGAGCTGGAACTCAGCATTGAGTTGTCTAGCCGTCTCTTCTTGCCGAGCCTTGACGACAGCCAACTTCGCCGACAAGGTTTTTTATCCTTCGCAAGAAGCGAAAACGAGGAGCTGGTGGATTTTTGCCGCCAGTTTCAACGATTCATAGGGCGAGTCGCCCTCTTGCGAAGCACGTTTCTTCTTTCGCTTCCGCTGCTTTTAAACAGCGTCCGTTGTGTTCTCTTTACTAGCCGAGACACAAACAATGCGCACGGCTGTGCCCGCGAGAACTGCAGTTACCAGTTGTTGGGTACTGTGTTACCGACCACTGGAAACGTCCGAAATCGTTGGTAGTACTGTGAAATCGTTGGTAGTACTGTATCGAATCGTTGGTAGTATTGTATCGACATTTCGAGTATGCAAGCATTGTATTACTGGCCGACAATGCATTACTGTAGTACCATATATAACGGTAGTAGGGTATTTAGGATGAAGCAGAGTCCATAAAATTAATTACCTTTGCCACCTTTCTGACCTTTTAGAGGTTTGTCCTTGATAAAGTCTGGGTTGTCCCAGTTTATTGACCCGCTTCTGTATGTCTAAGCATATGTTTGTGTGTCCATCTAGATTTTATTGGCTTCACGTGTCGGCAATTGTTGGAGAATGTAAGGGTTGGCCTTGTTAGAGTTGAGATTAGGCTAGTTTTTAGTCGAGATTGGCATATTTTTTAAGCCGAGTTGGTCCAGTTTATTGACCCGCTTCTGTATGTCTAGGCATATGTTTGTGTGTCCATCCAGACTTTATTGCTTACACGCGCCGTCATTTGTTGGTAAGTGTGAAGAAAAAAACTTTTTCGTTTTGGTCTGTAATGGTCTCCCTTTTCTTGCCCCCACCCCTTCTCCCTATTCAGCACCGTCTTCCACTATCCCCCTTTTTTCTAATCAATGCCGCCTCCCACTGTCCGCCTTCCCCCCTTTCTTTGCACCGTCCTCCAACTCCCTATTCAGAATCGTTCTCCACTATCCCCCCCCCCTCCTTCACATACTTTTCTATCTTCCCATTGCTCTATACCGTCCCCTCTTCCGTAGCATTGAAACAATCTCCCTGTTCCACAGACCACTCTTCTTCATTAGACAATTATGCTCTTATCAGTACAAATTATATTAGAATTGTGTGTCGATCTGTCCAGATGTAAGTCCGACAACATACATGCGGTGACGAAAGTGAATTGTAACAGAAACATTGTTTATATTTTGTTTTTCGTTTTGGTCATATTTCAGATGCATTATTGATTATTGACATGTTTTGTCAGCCTAGAAGTTGAAGGCATGCTTTGTATTTTTTCAGATTAAAAAGTGGGCATAGAATTGGGGACAAACTTGTTTAATTAGTCATAAGTTTTTTCTTTGAAGTTTACGATTAGAGAAAATATATTGAATTCATAGTGTTGAAAACTAGGAAAGAAAAAAATATATTTAGTTCTATATATTTTGCTTTTAAAGTTTCTTAAAGTTTAAAAATTGTTCAAAACTGTACCTTTGACAACATCTCATTGTCAAAATGTTTATTCATTAATCCATTATATATACATAAATCAAGGATGGGAATTATTAATTATATTTAACAAATCTAAATTTATTCTAAAATTTCATGCTATTTCCGACATTTTTTGCTTTCATTCCAAAAAATTAAAAAAATGTAAAAACTATGGCGTTTGACTTTGTTGCAGTTTTTATACCCTCCAGTTCGTCATTCCGTTTTAACTCATCGATATAATCATTTTAGACATAACAATATATATATATATATATATATATATATATATATATATATATATATATATATATATATATATATATATATTCTTGATCAGCGAAAAATTCTAAAACGATCTAGCCCTGTCAATCTGTTGTAATCTCGCTACATTCAAAACTAAATAATAGGAAGCTAAAATTTTGCACAAGTCAGTATTTTGTCAGCAAGCAGGTCAAGTTCGAAGATGGGCTATACCAGTCCACGATATCGTATAGCCCCCATATAACGGTATATCCCTATATTCGGTATTTTTATGCTTTTAGCTAAATTTTTCAATGGAATTGTCTAAAAATAAACACTACAAGTTATTTCCAAGCACTTTACTTCCTGGAAGATTTTATGATTTTAGCTATTTTAGCTATATTTTTCAAGTTTCGTATTTTAATATTGTAATGGCTTATGACAAAACTTGCATATGCAGGTCCACGTCTTCGTATAGACTCCCAATATAATGACTATATTCGGTACTTTTAAGATTTTAACAGAATTTTTGGTGAATATTATTTTTTGAAAATTTTCAAATTTCGGTCCGGCCGAACTTACTGCTTTTTTACTTGTTTTTATCTCACACTGTATAAGCAAGTACAAGTAAATAAGATATAAACTGAACCCGGTGTGCTTCGCTACCTCCTTCGATTTTATATGAATTAAACATTTTATATACAAATACTTGTTAGTTAAAAAAAATAAATAAAATAAAACAAATTCAAAAATTTTAAAAATTAAAAAAAAACGCGGTCTACCAAAGCGTGAAAATGCCAGGAACTGCTGACCATGAGAAAAGCAAAAACATGCCAAATTTTGTCCGCATACACGAAGGGTTTGTCCTTCAGATTTATTAATTTCATATCAAAACCAAAACGTACAGGAAACTGCAATCTTGTTTTTGCAAAATGGTCAGGCTTTATCCTTTTATTGTTGTTTTTATAAAAACAACGTTTGTTTATTAGTGGAGAACGATGGTAATCCTCATCAGTTCCATAGTTTGTTGTCTGGGATATTCTCCCCAGAAGTTATTTTAAAAATAACTTCTATTACAAAAAACATTTTTTACCCAAGTGACGAGATCGTAAGCTCAATTGAAGAGGAACCAAAGAATTAAATAAAACTAAAATATATTTGGAAAGCCTTCTAAATCTTACAACCGCACTTATAAACATTTACATCTTTCTGCACTTGTTATGCTTTCGTTCAACCTGAACGACGTAGCATAACAATGTAAGTTGGTTTTGTCTGTTACAACAAAAACCCCTTCGTCGACCGTGCCTTGTCTATTAATAGAACAGTGTTGGCTTGTTTATATATATATATATATATATATATATATATATGTGAAAATATATATGGGAGCTACATCCAAATCTGAGCCGATATATAATATAATTTGGCAAATTTATTCCAAATTTGGAGACTGTATCTGTAATCCATCAATGGCTATGTGTATATAAAATCTAAATTTTTTATCTTCGATTCTGATGCTATATCTCCAGTTCCAAGTGGAATTTCAAAAATATATTAGCCTATGTTACTTCTGTTCTGTCTGTTCAGTTGTTTTCAAGTCCATAAATTACAAACAAACATTTTCCTCTTTTATAGATATAGAAGAAAGATATACTAGCTGAACCGGACCGCTTTGCTAGCCCATAGTATTAGCGTTTAATGCATATTTTTAAGAACCTAATATAATTTGTAAACGTTTAGCTTTTCTCTTTAAAAAAGCCTACATTTTGATAAAAGAAATGTTAACTTGCAACTGTCGTCAATCTACAAATTTGGCGGTGTTTAAGCTTATTAATGTCTTCCTTGTTCTGTGGTTTATTGTTGTATTCTTTTCATATTATTTATCTTGAGTTCCCAATATTTATGGTGAATGAAGGAAATTTTGCATATACGCTTGTATTTATGTTTTCAATTTTTGGAGTTTTCGTCCTCAGAATCGATAGTAATTTCTAAATTGAAGTACTGGAAACATGACTTTAATTTAACTACCATAAATAAAGTGTCATCGGTTTATTAAAGTTAGGGACCCCATAAGGTTTGTAAAATCTAGTCCTTTAATACTGATTCCTCGTATAACCTGCCGATTTGAGGTCCTTTCAAGAACTCTAAAGCATTTTCGAGGTTATAAATCCTTTGTCAATAAAAATACAACAAAATCCACTCTATGATTTGATTTTGCATGTTTTTGTTAGAATTTGCACCAAATGAACTGTAATTTAACATTTAAAGTTTTCAGTATTGTGAAATCAATGCCGACATTAGACATTGTCTCAATTTTAAAATAAAGTTTGATATTTTAAATGTTTTGATGCTTTGAGAAGTATTTGAAAATTTTGGTATGACAACCATAAACTTTATTTTTTTACTTTATAAATATGGATTTAAATAAGTCGGTGTGGCCAGTTTCTCTGACCCCAAATAGCTACCTAGGGTCGAGGGAGAGTCATCAGTACTTTGGAACAGATATCTTCATTACTTTGACAAATATTAAGATTTTAGGTTAATCGAAAAAAATGAAAGTAAAAGTGGTAGTGGTAAACCTAACTCATGGTAGGACTAACCTTACAACTGATTCAATTACCAACGAACAACAATTGGTTTTTATATATAAATAAATACCGTATTTATTGAAATTTTATCACATTCTAATCATTTAAATAGAAAAAATACAACGAATTAAGTGCCAATACAATGAGAATTTAGTCTTAGTTTAGGAGGTAAACATGCAAACGATCTTTGTGCTGGATCGACAATTTCAGTCAACTTTATATGGATATGCGAATTTGAACCTTTCCGTTTCATGATAGATATGTAAGCATGTTTGTTCGTATATGTAAGTATTATGCAGCACTTGACTCGCCAATTGATGTATTCCTTTGTCGCTTTGTTCGGGGCGGTGGAACAGGAGCCGCCGTAAGGCCAGCCGTTAACTGTTCTTTTTGTACCGCCTTGAGAGAATCGCCGAATGTTGAATGCGGCATGATCGATTGTACGGCGGCGTGCTTTGGAGAAATTACAATAGGCGATTTCTTTTTGCACATGCGGCGATCGAAATAGTCCTTGCATTTAAGAATCACTGGATTATTTTGGCGATTCAAGTGCCAGATTGCAAATATGCACGCCGCCAAAAGTATAAGAATAAACACGACCAAAAGAGGAACGTAATTGAATTGTTCGGAGGATTCGTGTGGCGTAGATTCCGTGACTGTAGGTGGCACAGTGGGACGTTGAGTCGTATGTATGCTGGGCCGTATTGGTCGCAATGGGGTTTGAGTTCCGGTACCAATGGCAATATCGGAACAAGATCTAAATTCCTCCTGCTCGCCACAACCAACTGCTCCTGTACCATCGGGACAAATACCCCAGTTATTTCCAGCTACATAGCGCCACTGTAACACACATTGAGTGCAAGTAATATCTGAAAATAAAAAAAAATTTTTTAATTTAATCCTAAGTTCATCATTTTTATTAAATAGATTTATCGATATTTTGTATTATACAACCTTATCTACTTTTGTACCCTTCACCATAACATGGAGGGTATATTAAGTTTGTCATTCCGTTTGTAACACATCGAAATATACATTTAGGGCTCACAAAGTATATATATTCTTGATCAGCATAAAATTCTATGTCGATCTAGCGATGTCCGTCCGTCTGTGGAAATCACTTTACCTTCCGAATGAAATGAAGTAGGTTGATACAATTTTACTCAAATGAAAATCATATCTGCTGGACTTTTGGTATTGAAAATGGGCCATGTAGGTCCACGTTTGGTATAACCCCATATAATGGTACCTCAAATTTGCTATTTGAAATTCGTAATGGATATTACAGCCTAAGACAGAAAATTTCGATAGCCCCCACCTTCCTATATTCGGTATTTTGAAGATTTTTGCTTCATTATTCACTGACTTTTCGTATTCGTATTCGAATATCGTATTTGAATATTATAATAGCTTATAAATTAAATCTTAAAAACAAAGAATGTAGCCGTTATACATTCTTTGTTTTTAAGATTTTAACAGAATTTTTTAATGATTTTATTTATTTATCTATTTATTATTATCTTTTTATTTTTTTTTTGAAAATTGCCACATTCGTCCCAAGTTGTGGAGGGTATTCAAAGTTCGGCCCGGTCGAACTTACAGCTTTTTTACTTGTTTTTATCTAAATTAATCTATCTTTCTGATACCTTCCTTCAAACAATTCAGTTAGAAAATTTGGCTGAAATCTTTAAAATAGCGAATTTCGAGAGGTCCCGTTATATAGGGGCCTTTCAAAAATGAATACCTATGAAGAAAATATTAAGGTAAATCCCGAACTTTAACGTTAATACCGTTAATACTTTAAGCAATTCCGTTAGAAAATGTGGCTTAAAGCACCAAATTGTAAAAATTACCGTTATATGGGGTGTATAGAAAAACGTAGCCCAACATAGGCAATATATATATTAAACAATTCCATTAGAAACCTGACAGATAAAATATAAATATAAAATATAACTTCATTTTCTATGTCTTATTTTCTTTTCTTGATCCAAGATATATTTTTTTAAGGCATATTCATTAATAACAACAACAACAAAATTATCAATATCAGCATTTTAGATATAAAAAAAATACTGTCGATAATTCAAAGAAAGGAAATGAAGGTTATAAGAATAGCTGCCCTTCTGTCATAAGCCATTACAATATTAAAATGCGAAACTTGAAAAAAAAACTTTTGTGAATAATGTCGCTAAATCATCAAAATACCGAATGTCGGGAGGTACCGTTATATGGGAGCTATACCAAAGTGGACGTGGACCATGGCTCATTTTCCATTTCCACTTTTATAATAATATGTTTGCCAGTGCGTGTTACAATTGAAATACGAAACTTGAAAAAAATCCATGAATAATGTAGCTAACATAATCAAAATATCGAATATAGAGAGGTACTGATATATGGGGCTTGTACGAAGGTCTGGACCTGCAAAGACAATGTTCTGTCATAGTTCCCATTACGAACTCTAAATAGGAAATTTGAAACAACTCCGGTGAAGGATGTCGCTAAGATTATCAAAATACCGAATATAGGCTGTATGACCCATTACGAATTCTATGTACGCAATTTCAAACAACTCCGGTGAATAACGTCCCCAAAATCGATAAATATCTAATATCGGGGGGTTACGTTGTATGTGGGCTATACGATATCTTGAATCTATATAGACATTTCTCTTCTAGGGAGTAAAGTGCTTGAAAAGAACTTCTAATATGCATTTTTAGATAATCCCATTGAAAAAGTTTGCTAAAATCATCAAAATACTGAATATTGGGGATAAACGATATCATGGACCTATATAGACAATAATCTTCCAGGGGATGAAGTATTCAAAACGAAATCCTTATGAGGATTTTCAGACAATTTTATTGAAAAATTTGGCTACAATCATCAATATACCGAATATTGGGGGTACCGTTGTAAGGGGTTATACGATATCGTAGACCTATATAAACAATTCTCTTCCAGGGTGTAAAGTACTTAAAAGGAACACCTCGTGTTTATTTTCAGACAATTCCATTGAAAATGTGGCTAAAATCATCAAAATACCGAATATCAAAGGGTACGGTTGTATGGGGGCTATACGATATCGGTGACCTATATAAACAATTCTCTATCAGAGAATGAAGTACTCAGAATGGACTCCTTGTGTGGATTTTCAGACAATTTCATAGAAAAATGTGGCTAAAATTATTAAAATGCAGAATATCGGGGGGTACCGTTGTATGGGGGCTATAAGATATCGTGGACCGATATAGCCCATCATCGAACTTGACCTGCCTGCAGATAAAAGACTGATCTGTACAAAATTTTACCTTCCTATCTTTATTCGTTTTCACTCTAGCGTGATTACAACAGACGGACGGACAGGCAGGGCTAAATCGTCTTAGAATTTTAAGCTGATCAAGAATATATATACTTTGTTATGACTAAAATGATTATTTCGATGAGTTACAAATGGAATGACGAACTTAATATACCCTCCATACTATGTATGGTGGAGGGTATAATAATTCCAAGAAATCAATCAGAGGATACCTTCATATGAGGATTATACCAAAACGTATGTTTCTTCTTTCTAATAACTGAAACGACAATAATTGTTGAAATTAGATTGAAAAATATGGCTAAAATACAAAAATACTCGAAATCGGGGTATACCCTCATTGGGGGTCATACCAACACGTGGATCGGCATAGGCCATATTTTGTACAAATAATCCTAAGTTTAAGAAAAATTCGATTCCATTGATAAAATTTTCTCGGTTTTTTCCTGATTTTAGAAGTATTGCAATGATTTTTTAGCGATTTTAAAATACTAATTTTTAAACCTTTAACTTTGGTGTGACCGCGTTAAATTGTTTCGACATCATCTATTCAGTTTCTCCACCACATAATTCAGTATTACACTTCAATGTAACCCGCCTGCAATTTTCTTTCTCAAAAATCGAGACAATTCAATAAAAACTCGTTCGCACACGATAAACTATTGCATACTTTTTATTCACATCTTACCCTTTTCTGAAATTATATTATTCGTATAGTTCCACCAACCCAATAAATACATAAAGTATAAAAAACTGTTTTGTCCGTTGTCGCTTTATACTACTCAGAAATACTACACATTGTATTAGAATTCAAAAAGAAAAAAAACATTATAAATGTACTTCCACTGTTTCAGCCACAATTTTGAATTTTGGTATTTAAATTGGTTATTGGGTTCAAACACAATCATGGTATAATAAGAGGGCAATCCAGTGCAATCAAATTTTTCACAACTTTTCAAAAAAGACTTAATTCTTGCAAATGTCGCCTTTTCCAATTCCAAACATTCATATTTTTAGGAATTTTCACGATCTATCAGATTTGGTTAAAATTTTATAATTAAAATTAATAATTTCAAAACATTATAATTTTATTTTGGAATGACATTAAATTTTGCTATTCCTCGGTATTTAGCCACATTAGATTTATTTCCATTTTTGAAGACTGCTTGAGTAAATAAGGCAGTGACCAATATAGTGAGAGGCAAAACAAAAGCATCTGAGCAGAATGCAACAGAATGCAACTCCGAATCTTATCTGTTATTGCAGTTACATGTTTTGGCTATAACAGTCTTTTCAAAGGTTCGGCATCGTCGCACTTTAAATTCGGTGGAAAATCACTGGATTCGCGCTTCGAATTGACAAATTTGTAGAAAGTTGTTTTTTTTTAAGTTTAAAGTTGTTTTTGAGTTTGGTGAGAGCGAAAAGCATATTTTTTTCCCTGTAGAAAATGAAACATTAATTTTGATTGTGGGGTGGTGGCAACGGATCAATTCGTTTAATATAACACTCATCCAGTTGATTCACAAATTGAGGTCCAATAACTTATTATAGATGTTACGGATGCAATTTATTTTAAAAATAACAAAATAAAAAAGTGTATCATCATAAGATTTGTATATATTCGCATGCAAAATATTTTTATCTCCAGGTAAAAAATTCCACAAAATGTTTGGTATATTTAAATCGCCCAATATACAAATTACGCATACCAAATGGCTTTTAATGTATGGATATGGGTTTTTTTTAATTGATTGCTGTGATATTTTGCAAATTGATTTATGAGTGTCTCAGGGTACCGGTTAGTTAGATGTTCAAACATGGTAGAAGGTATTCAATTCATTCAATTCTATTAGACAGCTGATTCAATTCGATTGATAGCGGATTATTCTTCAATCTGCAAAAAATGTTGAAATCAGTAAAAACGCATTCTTTTTTCTGCAATCCCCACATAAGCGCACAAGAAGCCCCTTCTTATTTGAAATTGCATCAACAACAAGCCCCGAATTGTCAGTACAATTTAGGTGTCAGTACAATTTTCGTGACACAACCAGAGTGTTATCATTCCTTCATCAGATTTTATTTTACAACTTTTGTTTTAACAAGAAATTTAAGTAAAATTTATACGCTACAAGACTATGTGTTGGGGGTATTATAAGTTTGATTAGGCCAAAATTTATGTAACACCTCGAAATATTGGTTTCCTACATAGGAAAGTATATATGGATCTTCCTATCTAGCTATGTATGTCCGTCCGTTCGTCCGTCTGTTTATGTTAATTTGTAATCACTCTACAGGTCGCAATTATGACCCGATCCTCACGAAGAATAGAAGCCTATTGTTTTTGGAGATGATCGCATAATATTTAGGGGTTGAAATACACCAAAAACTTAAAAATTTCATGATTTTGCAGTTGCTCTACAGGTCGCAATTATAGACTATGGGGCTAGAGCTTAGGGCTGGGCAGAAGCCTTCCAATTTTGATGGTCATCGCGTAATATTTAGTGGGTAAAATAGACCATAGCATTTGCGTTAAATAAAAGTCAC